GAATCGTACTTAAGTAGCTGGGCTGTTTTCGTCCCAATGCCCTTATTACTGCAACAATGGGGTTGTCTTGGCTTGCACACTGTGTTTTTTACTGTTCAAGGTTCGTTCTTCATCTATCATACTACATGATTAACCTTCAGATTCCGCCTCCTGCTCCTGGAGAAAAGGCATGGTTTCAGAAGCTGGATTCTAACATGACTCAGGATCTCCTTAATGGTGTTGTTTTCTTTTCATTGATTGGCATTGCGTATGAAGATGTTATGTTCTTCTGAGAGTTTGATTTTTCAGAGATGTCTCAAGAATTTGCGAGTATTTACAAATCGTGCCGAGAATGGCTGGCTCTCACCCGTTTTGTCGCGAAAGGCATCGTGAAACCATCGACACCCAGCCCGAATCCATCCCGTGGAGCTGAGGAAAAGGAAATTTTGCCGCCACCTCCACCTCCTCCGACATTCCATAAAAAAGTCGATCTGTCTGAGTACAAGGTATGCTTTCTCCTTCGAAAATGCGAAAGATAAGGTTGCATTTGAAATAGTTGCAACTCTCCTACTCTTAACCAGCGAGATTTCAAGATTTTCATTACCATGCAAAAAAAAAAACAGAGAAGGTTGTCCAGGTCCCACTGTGTATTGACCCTTACATTCGTCTGTACTAATGTTGTCATTTTCAAGAACTTTAGCTGGTAATGACCAATCTCGCTCCCAGAATTATCCATTTGGGGAATTTATTTACAGTTTAATAATCGTAGAACCAATCATGAGCCTACACCATTTTAAATCATTTTAATTCACGGACAGCCTCGTGTCCTACATCCACATGAGAAATATAAAGAAAAGTCACGTGGTAATTCGAATGACATTTCAATGATTTTTGAATCTGTAGCTCTCTGCAGCTTTTTATGATGAGCTTTTTATGTTTATAATACCAAAATGAAGAGTTCAGTTTCCAATACCCTCGATTTTATTGTTCATAAAATAGTGTTAGGTTGGGTTATAAGTCCTTGGACAAAGTGATAGTGACGATTTCTAGTGATCATAACTCGGGAAAGAGGCGACGGAAATAGACGCGCTTGGCACCGTTAGATAGAGTATGAAAAGCTCTTCCAAATGCATATCAACGAACACACCTAACTGTTTTATTTCCTGCAACCATGCCCCATGATTCAAGCCGTCGAACTCCACCTCCGCAACACCATCCTATTTCTTTTTTATCTGGCCAAGAACCCGCGGAGATCGATAGACGTATTAAGGAATTTTACAAGAAGGGTGCTCCTTGTAGATGTACAATTCATAAGCGGCACACGAAGCTCACGTCGGATGACCATTCCATCGAAAATGAAGACCGTCCGAGACGCTCAATAGAGTTGGATTCGGACGTGCTGTGGAGCCAGGTAGAAGCCGCTCCGTATCAAACTACTAGTGTACTGGCAATCACCCTTGGAGAGTCAGTCCACAGTTATTGGTGGATTGAAGTCAATCGGCAAGGTGCGAAAGCTCGGTCGATGGCTGCCTCATGCTTTGAAGCAGTATGACATGGATGCCGCGCCGACATGGCACTTTTTCTCCTCACGCTCAAGCGCAGGAAACGGTGTATTCATTAGTATGTATTAGGAAGAGCTTTTTATGCTCTATCTAAAGATGCCTCGCGCGTCCATTTTCGTCACTTCTTTGCCGATTTATGATCTCTAGAAGTCATCACTATCACTTTGTCCGAAGACTTATGACTCAACGTAATACAACGTGGTGTCGCTATTATGCACTTAGATTATGTCTTTTTATCACATCTCATTAGTCTTCCTCCCTGAACAGTGCCATCTTTCTTATAGCTCATTAATGCCATCTGCAACACTCAAATCTCTTGCTCAAACCGTTTCTTTTATCGAGGAATTTGTGATGTCCTTTTGTTCTCGTTCGATGGTAAGTCTTCAATCGATATCATTCCAGGAGCGGACGAAATCGCTTGCTCCCAGTGATCGTTCTGCTGCTGATCGTGCACCTCCAAGACGAAGCTTTATCCCAGATACATCACAGGCTAGACCAGATCTCTCGATGCCAACTCTTGCATTACCTGGACAGGAACCTGTGACTCCGTCACCAGCTGGTGAGTAGAATTTTCGAAGCGATAGGTTCCTACCTATCTTCAGTAGAGGGATCGGTGGGCATCTGCCGAGATTTTCTTCTTTTCGTGTCGAAAGCCGACACTTATTTGAAGCTTCTTTTGGCTGAAAATGTAATAATTGGACGGTTGAAATAATTAATGATCGGTGTTCAAAGGATGGACATCAGTGGACATAGATTGCAGACATTGTAGTGAGACCATCATACTTCCTCTATTTTCTGGAACTCTAAACGCTTTAGCATAAGGGAAACTAACAAAGGGAATTCTATCTTATCAATCACACAACAGATGATATTGGTAGTTCCGGTTAATCGGTTACAAAATTCTTATGGAATTTGCTTTTTCCCGTGGCTTTCTTGGGCCTCGGATAGATTGCAAACACCCGTCAGTTCTACATCAGTTTAATAATGATCGGTTTTGTTGTCAATCAGCCAGCTCTATGTGGGGGATTCCTTCTGTCTTGTCTAAATCGAAGTCCCAGGTAATAATAACATTATATTGTGAATATAAACTTTGAAAGGTTAATATCTGCCGTACTCAATAGATTTGGATGAAAGCTTCGATTTCTTTCAAGTTTATTTATTTGTAGTGTCTCCTTGGTTATAATGAATATGTTGTAGATACGCATCAACTTATTTGTGAGAGTATTGCTCTTATTCGCTCGAAGAGATGTCATTTCTTCAGTTTCAGTGCACGAGAATGGTCAGAAGTCTAGAGATGATCAAAGCAGAAGAGAAGAGGAGCGTAGGAGAGAAAAAGAGCGGCGGCGACGTGAGGAAAGAGAACAGCGTCATGGTCATTCAGAGCGGCCAGAAGATAGGGAACGGCGTAAAGAAGAAGAACGACGGAAACGGGAACATGAACGAATGGCAAGTAGTGGACAGTCCAGCGGTTTACACCCTCCTGTGTTAGTTTTCTTTTGTAACATTTCATTCTTTGGGCTCCTGCAGATTCCTCATTTTCCCAATGTTTCAGCGAAAAGAGGCCCCGCCACGAATCATCGTCTTCTTTCCCGCATTCGTCAGTTGGATCATCTGGCAGTGGTAGTGGTTCGTCATCAAAACCACGGCCTATGGCCCCAGTGCAAGTGCAGCACCACTCTTCTCTTCATGGGCACAATCAAGCAGCTAACGGTTCACATGTTCGAAGTGATAAAGACATAATTAAGGTAACTTTCTTTATGATTCTTTTGAAGTTTTCGTGCGAGAGGGAACACTGAGTGAAAGCACTTCCCCGAACTAACTATGAAACATGGAGTTTCACGTAAAATCTGATTACTTCTAATTTCTTTGTTCTGCCAAGGTTCATTGTTGTTGTTAATTAGTCGCAGCCTCATTCGTGGGCCAACATTGGATTGGGAGTTTTTTTATTTACACATGAGCATACAGGATGGGCCAAAATTATGGTTACAGCGCGCGCAGATGCTCATACCATTTTTTCTGAGTTTATAAGGCGCTCGGTTTCTTGCGTTTCACAAGGTAGTTTATACATTATGTCCTTTGTAGTGATACTGAACTTTTGGCAGATTCTAAAAATTATGAAAGCGTCACTCCCTCGTAAATCAATCACCATTTTGCATTTACGAGTACTTTTGGCACCGGACATCTCCAGACGACTCAGTGTAACAAAGCATCTGGTATATTTAATCATAAGATGCTTTCAAGGGTTGAGAACAACTGCGAATCGGAGAGATAAACCGAAGAGACCTGTGGTCACATTTTGGGAGTGTTAAGAAAGCAGGGCGAAGGTCTGCGTAGCAGTAAAGTTCACTCTGCACACAAAATAGCTAAAGCAATGGATATCTTATAAAATTTTCTGTGCAAAATCGTGAAACATCATTTGCACCACAAGACCTTTATGCGATTGGAAAGTGATTTCCCAACGGCAGGCTTAAGAGAAGGGAAAGGCCTTTCACTACAGCTTTTAGGCCGTTCTTTGAGGAATCGTCATGAGAATCTGTTCACCTACGAAAAGGTATTCACAATGAAAAAGGTGCTTAATAAGCAGAACGACAGGACTTATGCGAAGAAGAAAGAAAAGGAATTGATACAGCGCAGGGCTTATTCATTTTCTTTGGTGGTCTCTGCGGGCATCACCGTCACGGCAAAGACACCGCTAATCTTCTAACTCAAAGTCAAATCAGTCAACGCTTTCGCGATTCGAACTGTACATACTGTCAAGATGGAACTCCTGACCGCCGATCAGGAACTCGTAGAAAGAGTTCCTCGACTCCACAATCTTCGATCAGTGGTTACTTAAGAGCCCCCTGACCTGAATTTCGTAGATGCTTCAGTTGGATCAACATCGGAAGAAAGCATGCGATAGTCTGAGCACGAGCTGAGATAATCTCGAAAATGCCTTGCAAGAAGCCGGGAACAACTCGTTGATCCTAGCTGCTTGCCATCATCGACGCCTTCTATCACCGTTTCGGGGCTTGATTGAGCGACAGATCTCACTACCAATGTACTACTTTGGTAAGAAATAAGTGATTAATACTTTTGAAACTGGTTTGTTTTACAAGCTGCTTACAGAATTTTGTTGTTTGCAAGCTTGTTTTTGGGGATGTGATATCTGTGTAATCATGATTTTGGCTCACCCTGCACTCAGCAGTTGGTGCGGGATTGTTGTAGTTTTGTTCGTATGTTCGTAAGTAGTGTTTTCCACCTGCACTCGAGACCATTTCCCTATCTCACCGCAATAACACTTCCCTTTCGTTATTACTTGCTTTAGACAGCAAAATGCTACATTTACAGATTACTAGTGAGTGGATTGTTACGAACAGATGGACCGCTTAATATATGAAGAAGTTTTAAAAGCCCGCCTAGTAAGCTTTTACGGTAGTCTTGCTTGGTTTCTACGATATTCTTCCATTAATTCACGCATTTCACAATGTGGCTGACCGTCAAATGTGTTTCGGGAGGTGGATATTCACTCTGTAGGTTTGCACTATAAGACTTCCATTGCTGCGATTTTTACAGAATTCGTCACAGTTTTGCCGTGCTATGGAACCGCCACGAGCCTTGTCACCACCACCTTTACCTCCATCGGTGCTCCCTCCACCTCCCCCGCCACCGTCTGCCATGGCCGAGCTGGAGGATGGAGAATTGGAGTGATCTCTCTGTCTAAATATCTGTCGACCTTGTTGCATTGACATTTATGAATAGCTAGTGATCGCGCACGTTGCAGCGCAGAAGTAGTGAATTGGTTTGATTGGTAGTTCGATTTTTCAATTTAGCCACGGGTACAGCCTTCTTAGAGCAAATCGTCGTACTTTATGTTTAATGCTATTTCAATCAATAGGATGCTGCGTAGATCGGGTCTTTTGTATGTTTCGTTTCTTGTCTTGAACTGAACTTACGCGTATTTCTTCTGTATGTATATGTATGAGTATGAAAAATCTCAAAATGTTGAAAAATATTGGCGGTCCTTGAGTGTATGGGTAGCTCGGACAATATTAATTTCCATATTCTTAATGTTTGTTGTTTTGGATGTGTGTTGATGTAATTGTTCATCGTTCGACCATCTGGTACCATTTTGTTGTATAGCCCAGAAGTGTTCTGAACTCTCAATACAATCGTATGATTGATGATTTGTTACAGAAATTTGTTGTTGATTTTAATTTAATTGAAGGTAAATGTTGTATAATAAACTAAGTGGAGACTATAAACTGTTTTACGTGTCTATGGGTGTACTTTGAAAGGTATGGCAGTTGACATGACAAACGTTTTGAATTGCTTATTTTTGTTTTTAGGATAGGAGTATGAACAAGCAGTTGTGTAGCGCAGGCGGTAACATTCCCAGAACAGGTGGGCGAGTATACCGAAAATAACTGGTATGGTAACTTTTCCCCGAAAGCCGCGTCGCGCTCCCCGCATCCGATTTCGCGCAGTCGCGCGTTATGAAGCGGAAGGTTCGAATTTTCGGTGGGAGGATACGGCAGCCGCCGCTACAGCTGGTATTGGGAATTGTAACTTATAAACTAAGAATTCATTGTTGCCTCTTCCAGTGGCGATGCTTTTTAATCGGAGGACATTCGAAATGACTCTTTTCATGGAAAAAATGTCGAAATACAAAAATGGCTGGGAATGCTAGTGAAAAAGAGCATCCCCGTGACACGATGGTGGTCGGAGAGGCCATACATGTACGTACGAAAGTATTTAATGCATTCCAGTTAAAGAAAACATTTTAATAGGTCTGTGACGTGAAAAGACCCCTAAGGTATCACATTATCAGATCGCAGTGACAATAATGGAACAACTCCAGATGAAACAATGCTTAATGAACAATTTTAAAAAAATGGGACGGAAAGGCCGTGCGGTACTCAACCATCGATACTCGTCAATAGATCCAGGTTAGGCTGAGAGCAGCGCTTTTCCCAATATCAACATTTAACCAACAAAAAAGGCATTGCCAATTACAGAAGAATAAAGGAAGTAATAAGTAAAACAATGGAAGACAAGCTTGACAAAGAGTGCCCTCCACCAAAGTACAACTGCTGAAATCCTTGCGGAAATGTAGGCAGCCGTTGTGCCTCTCGAGCAAACACGGCTGGATGATTACAAGAACCTCCTCGACAACAACAAAAGTAGCACGGCCCCGATGCAGTATTGGCCTAAAAGTGATGACGTCATTCACCCACATTAAAAAGTTACCCACAAAAAAAGGAACCTTACCATGGAACAGCCTTGGGTATTAATAAAACCTGGCCCATCCCCACATGTCATTGAACCAAACGGTACGGCAAAATCGTTTGCACAGCCGAAATTAGCAGAACCACTGGCAGAGAAATAACTGAAACATTGTTTTTGAAGAGGGTTGGAACACCGTGAGAGAGGAAGGTGATCAAAGGGACAAACGGCGACCTTACTGCACACCATTCCTTGTTCAATGATTCTGAACATTTGCGACTTGTGATACCTCCAGTCAGGGAAGCTGATAGAAACAACGACCCTTAAATGTAAAAAAAAAA